AAAAGGTAGTTTTATTTAAAATTTCAAATATTCGCGGAAATCTAAGAAAGTATTATGTGGCCTAACATTCTAAACGCTTACTTATTAATTATGCGATTCGTGATATACATAGGCACATGTTTGTTTTGAGACCGTTAAAATAATTGCTGTTTTGGATATTTCTACTTGCATTGATAATTTGTGGTTATTTCGTTCGGAAGTTAAAATGAAAGTATAGCATTAAGGACGCCTATTAAAAATGAATAGAAAGTAGAATATACTCATACATATAATGAAATAAAATTGATTGATTAGAATAAATTGAATTATCTATACTTCTATACTAACATTATAAAGTGGAAAAGTTTGTGAGTTTGTGCGTTTGTGAGTTTGTGACGTTGTAGGGGATAATCTCTAGATCTACTGAACCGATTTAGATGAGATTTGGTAAGAAGATAGTTTGAGACCCTGGGAAGGACGTAAGATACTTTTTATCACGGAAATCATTCCTTAAGGGAGTGAAAATTGGAATGAAAGTTTGCATGGGAAATCAAGCTAGGAACGAACCCGAGCGAAGCGAGGGTGAGTCTCTTGTATACATTATACATAGATATATTATATGTATTGAAAAATAAATTGTAGGTCGGTGGTACGCTTTTGGTGGTCACCGTCTTACTATGTACTTTTCATCCAAATCCGTCCAGCTTTCACATATTATAATTAGTATTCAACCAGTGGGCGAAATTCGATCTTAATCATTATAGAAAATATGAACTAAACATAATAGAATGTACCGGCCTACATAAAAAAAATGTTTTGAATTTTTTTTATTGATAACACTAAAGCTCGTTAATGGCTGCTAACCAAAAAAAAGGAAATCATTTGACAAACAGACGAGAAAAAGGTAACTGAACTGTATTGTCTTTGCCTACTTATATTAAGATTAACGATGTGAAACTCAGTTTGTCTGTCTGTACTTCTTTTATCTACTTCTTTAATAAGGCAGTGGTAGCCTAGTGGTAAAGCGCTTGCTTGGGAAACCGAGTGAAGCGGGCTCAAATCCCGGCTCTCGCACCTCAGATATTTTCATGTGCGAATCATTTCTAACATGATTACCACTTGTCTTACGGTTAAGGAAAACATCGTGAGGAAACCTGCATGTCTGAGAAACCCTAGCAAGTTTTCAAAAGACATGTGAAGTCCGCCAACCCGCACCTGGCCAGCGTGGTGGACTATGGCCTGAATCCCCTCGTACTGAAAGGAGGCCCGTGCTCAGTAGTGGGACGTTAAAAAGGGCTCAATACATACATACATACATACAATACATACTTCTTTTATGCAGTAACGGATCGATGTGATTTTTTTACATAGTTAATTTATGCGTAAAATTGTTAAACGATGTTTTTGTGGTACATCTATTGAATTCCATGGGATATATTTAAATGTAAACTAGCGACTTACCCTCGCTTCGCTCGGGTTTGTCCATAGATACCTTATGACTGTTAGTATGGAATAAATAGAATATATTAGTATATATCTCTATCTATATCAGTACCTACGTATATATCCTTTACTTGAGAAATGATTGATTCCTCATACAATGTTCCATCAACACCCCCCCCCCTCCGCACCCCCTCTTTCACCTCCTTAAGGGTGATTTCTGAGTAAAAACTATCCTATGTCCTTCCAAGGGTCTTATACTATCTCCATACCAACTTTCGTCTAAATCGGTTCAGCGGATTAAGTGTGAAAAGGTAACAGATAGACGGACAGACAGAGTTACTTTCGCATTTATATATTAGTATGAATTAATATGATGAGATAGTAAGAAATTTATGAAACAAATAAACAAAACAGATTCTATCGATAAGAGTAAGAAAAACGCCTTCAAAGTGAAAGTTCATTCATGTTTTTAACTATACGTCCTTATTTCAAGGGCAACAAGATTCAAAATTGAATAATCAAGCTTACGGGAAATATGTAACATTGTGTCATACGCACAACCTGTAATTTTATTAAAATTTAAAATCTTATAACACTTTTGTAAATATTTTATTTAGTTACATAATAAAGATACTTTACATTGTAGTGCACATGTAATAAACTAGCTTTTGGCCGTGTCTTTGCTGGCTTAGTTTACTCTCCTAAGGCTTGTAGCGTGATTTTTATAGCCTATTTACCTTCCTCAGTAAATATTCTTTAATAAGGAAAAATAATTTTTCAAGTCTAACTTGTAGTTCCAGAGATAAGCACGAACAAACATTCAAACAAAAAACAAATTCAGTTAAAACTCATTATTTAACTTTTTTTAATAGGCTTAATATCCTTATCCTATAACATTAATTTATTATTAATGAATAAAAAGTAGATTACTCTATGATTCAAAAACATCTCGATACACAATAACATCTCGATGTGCTGTGAACTATTGGATTCATAAAGATTTTTGGTATCCCTAATAGTCCAATTGTAAAGAGATTTTCTTATTATAATTTTTTATCAATTTGTACAAAATTAGTGGAAAGTTCTGTATTGCAGGATGTAGATGAGCTCCCGAATGATGGGGGATCTTCATAGCTTCAGCTAAATCTAATGCTAACTTCAGAAACTCCTTTTTCACTAGCGGCAGATATATATTTTACCATTTTTTTACGCGGTCCAGTAAAACATACTCATATTCAGGTGAGAAGGTATTAGTGAATCTACTGATATTATTGGTTGCAACGAAGTGTGCTTTTTGGGACATTGTAGCGCGTTGAAGCTTCCCTTAATCTTATTTCTTTGGACTAATATTGCAGTTTGTTAACTTTGTTAGTCCCATTTTCCTTTTTTTTTTCGACCCCTCCATTTCGAAATATGCCCGTTATGCTATCCCCTAAAACAACGTACAATAATAATTTCTTATAATAGCTATAAACGTTTAGTAAAAAAAACTTCTAAACTGTCCGGTCTTAAGGGACATCTTCACGTCCGGTAGTAAGAGACAAGAAATCCCTCAAAATTACATGTTTCATACTAAAACTGTAGAAAACTAATAAAAGCTTTCACAGTCTATGAATTGCCATGGAACATTAACAATCAACATAAACATTTAAAACACAAAACCGAAGCAGTAATACACTTGAAATTTATGTGATGCAGCGCTTTCCCGCTAAAAACAGCAATCTTCCACTCTTACCGTAGCTGCTCGTGTCACGTGTCTCGTGTCCCGTGGCCCTGCATAGCTATGTCCACCCGCATCCCTTTCATCGATTTCTGAATAGATCAAGTTGTCACTTTTCGAGGTAATGCGAGCGCCCGACACTAAAGTGCCGTCCGGCGTTACGGGGCTTCCCCTGTAACTTCAGCTTTGATTTTTTCCGAAGTTTTGACATTCTTGTTTTAATGAATAGATTATACCTCCAACAAAAACCATTCCCAAGAGAATCTAATAAGGTATATCGTAAAAAGAATTATTACTTTTATTTTGTTATAATGTAAACATTTTACTATTCATTTACTTTTAACACAAGATAAAAAAGTCAGATGTCAATATAATAACAGTAAAGTACTTAGTATATTAAAAAATATATAAAATTTATTTTAAGCGTCGTAGGTCTGACATCAGTCTTCGTTCCAGCCAATTTTATCCAAATCTTTCAAATGAAAATGTGTTTATACAAATCAAATGCTGTTTTTTTGATAAACGCATTCCTCAAAAGTGGCTGGACCAATTTGGAGATTTTTTAAAATTCATATTTGCCAAATGAGATTTAAGAGAAAAAAATTGGAAACGTTATCCATAAAATTGGGAAAAACTGAAAATTCTTTTTTTCTCTTTTTGCATGAATACAAACATAAAAAACAAAATTTAAATTTGTACAGGACAAAGTCTGTAACGTTAGCTAATATGCACAAAGTTTTGAAGAAAACCTAATTACAACCACTTAAATTTCTATATAAAAATTATAAAATTATTAAAATGTTTAAAGTTAAAAAATATTGTAATGTAATTGGGGAAATTTTCATTCTGTTAATTGTGGGTAGGCTGTCTGTAACAACTATACATTCAAGACATGTAACACCTCAGTCTCTCCCGTGACCATGGATGCTGTAAAGCATTCGAAACGTCGGGAACCAAAAATCAAAATAAATCCGCGAAATAATCCGAAAAGATAGTTTTATTTAATAATGTCAAACATTCGCGTAAATCTAAGAAAGTATTAAGCCACAATATAAAATTACACACACAATATAAAAGTAAAAATTGTTCACACCATTAGTATATGAAACTTCCGGAATAGAAAGAGGGAAATCGATAAACAATACAGTAGTTCGTGGAGCTATAGATAAGGTTTATTTAGTCACAAAAACTTTACTTTTAAATACAAATCGCAATTATAAATGATAGAAAGATGAGAATATATTGATAATATATGCCATTCAATATAATATTAAAAAAATCTTTCCCATGACTAGAAACTACGTATGTATATTACGAGTATAAGCAGTTATTAATATCTAGAGGTTAAATTAGAACATTTGCTAAGAACTATAGTAATAATTCAATTAGGGAACTGACGTGAACTATGAACAATGGTGTTTCAATAAATAAATAATGCGGAAATTACTTTTTATTTATTTGCTTACAATATTTTCTTTATGGGAAATGATGAGACGGGTTTATATCACAATTTACTCTTTACGGAAATCGAACCTCTAACTACGTCCTTAATGTACTGTATATTACTTTATTATTTTAGTAATAAATAGAATACAATTCGTAGTTTGAAGATACTTTTCTCTTCTAAAATGTAATAGCATTAAAATAATGAATTATTGCCAATCTCAAATAGTGTAATATAGGTTGATGCAACCCGATGAAACGTCAGAAACAAGATATTCAACGACTTACAAATTCACGCGTTTAAGTCCCCTCATGAGTTAATGATGGGATGTAAAAGCATAATAGGTATTACAAAACAGTTACGACTGTGTCAAACCCAATATAAGTATAAACTAAATAACTTTTTCTTTTGTAGAAACACCATTGGAAGAAGTAAGCGATGCTCTTTACAATAAGGCAGTGAAGTTCCTAATGACACATGACATGCAGCTAAAATTACCCGAAATGATGTTTCACGGTTCCACGTTGAAGATATCTCCTCGGGCGCTGACGAAAACTGGTGCCCTAGTACACATTGATCTGGAACCGAACGAAAATGGCGAAGGCAGAATATTTTTTCACAAAATTAGTAAGTACTTATTATTTATTTTTATATAAAAAAAATAAAATTATTTTCATAGGGGGGATGACGACTTTAATGCTAAAAATTAATTGAAATATCTGAGGGAAATTACACGTGCACTTATATTGGAAGTGCAATTGACAGTAAAGCTCTGACTAACAAAAGATTGAAAAGTTTTAATTTATGTTATTAACATCTTGCAAGAGACCGTAAATAATACAAAACATGTTGAATAGGAGAGTAGGGGGAGGTGGGGAGGTTATTTTAATCCCCCTTGAACATGATGATTTATTTATAATTACCATTTATATTCCTAGAAATTACGCAAAACAATAATTAATTTCTTTGTTTTCAGAGAAGTATTTGAAGAGAAAACTAATAATGGCAGCCATAGGTATCATCGTTGCTATAAAGTTAATTGCACTAAAACTGGTATTTGTATTACCAGTGATATTTGGAGTGACCACAGCTAAGAAGTTGTTTATGAAGATACTCTTGTTCCTGTTCCCAGCATTGAGTCATATATTTAAGCTGTGTTCATGGTACCATCAGAGTTATCACACCACGAAGTATCACCATCATCATCATTTGATCACTCATCATCATAAAGTAAGATTTAAAATATTTATTCTTGTAGACATTAAATTCAATTAAAAATTAGACCAAATATGTACGCAGGTATTTAAGTAGTATTATAACTGCTCTGAAAATAGGTTTTTCAAACATCCACATACAAAAAAAATGCCATTCGCACAAACACACTATTGTTATCGTCGCAATATTGTGTAGTAGCTATTTGTAGTATACTTTAAAACGAAAGATTTATATTTTCTTCTTAGTCTTAACAGAGTGGTCGTGGTACATACGAGTATGTACATAATACGAATATTGTATATAATATTCTATCTTTAACAACGTTTTTTGAAGTGAAAACTTCTATAGGTAGGTTTGGATGGGGAGTAAATTCATGTAAGTCGTCATCGACATGATCACGTGACGTGTGAACGCTAACACTCAGAGTGCCGATAGATGTCAAAACCTGATAAATGTAAACAGTTTTAATTTACAAATTTTAATTTAAGATCAAAAAATAAATGTGGATATCCAAAAGTAACAACTGTTTGTTTATAATTTTAAGTTATCACTTATGTCGGCAGTCAAGTCGGCAAGTCATTACTGCTTTTTTTATTAAAATCTTCCTTATCATTAGGTTCCCCACTCTCATCATCCACACTCATATGGACACCCATCACACGGTGCAGTGGTGATCAAACCTCATGTAGAAAACCCCCCAGCCTCCTTAGATCACTATCCTCAGGATTGGGAATTATCTGGACCTGGTCTTGGCAGCGAGTAAGTAGAACTTATATGACAACTTTTCTTTCAGGTTTACCTTTTTAAGTATCACTTATGACTTAATACTTTCTTAGAGTTACGCTAATATTTGACATTTTAAATAAAATTAGCTTGTCGTATTTATTTTGATTATTCGTTCCCGACGTTTTGAAATTATTTTGTAAAATTGTGTGTAGGCACTATGTGTAACAAGTATAATGCCTTTGATACGTCTAAAACCTTAGTATCTCCAGTAACCATGACTATAAAGCATTCGAAACGTCAGGAACCAAAAATCAAAACAAATCCGCGAAATAATAAAAAAAAATAGTTTTATTTTAAAACACTTATTACTTATGAAAATTTCAATGATATAGTACGAGTATGTTCGTTTATATATAAAGTAACTAAAAACTTGTGATTTCTATCGAAATTAATTCTTGCGTTATTTTTGGGACATTTTATTATATTTTACTATTGTTATTATAAAAATGTGATGTTTTTTCAGATATCTATCTGATATTCATCGAAACGCCATAGCCAATTTCAAGCCTCAGGAAAGTGACTTAAATGAAATCAACGCTTGGGGCCTTGGTTTTCCACCAGGTAATATAGTTTGGGCAACACCTGTTCCTTTTACATTGTCTTACGTATTGTTTTTTAACGAGTAAAAATCTATAATAAATGGGCATTTACATATGACACCCAATGCTTAGTTACTAAATAGTAACTGAAATTTAGATATTTATAGAGTCACAGTACTCGTATAATTAGTGTGTGAATTTATTCTAACATTAAAAAACATCTTCGTTTCAGGATGATTTTAAAAAGCTGGTTATTTTTTATAATGTATCTCTACTAAATTCATATCAAATAAATCTATAGTAATATTATAAAGAGGCAGAGTTTGTTTCTTTGTTTCAGCGCGCTAATCTTAGAAACTACTAATCTGATTTGAAAATTTTTTATTGCCTTAGATATCCCGTTTATTGAGGAACGCTATAAGCTATATATCATCATGCTACTACCCAATGGAGTGGAGCAGTAATAATAAACATCAACAAATCGGGCAGACTTCCATACATTATTGTAAAACTTACGGTTATATCGGAACGCGGGCGAAGCCGCGGGTACTGTTAGTTTATTATATAAGTGTAGATCTAGTAGTTGAAGGCATATTAGAGGCGCATAGTATTCAGCCCTTCGTCATCCCAACACGCTAACCAAGTGCGGGCGAATTTCATACGTCTTTCAAAAATTTGCTAGATTCTCTGAGACATGCAGGTTTCCTAATGATGTTTTTCTTCACCGTACGACAAGTTAATGACGTTAGAAATTATTCACACGTGAAAATATCAGAGCGAGCGGGATTTGAACCCGCTTCACAGTCACCCAAGCGAGCACGTTACCACTGGGCTACCTCCACTGCCACATAGAGAAAAATATTGATACTTTTACAATTCTTGTTTAATTATGCTACTTTTTCAGGACAGTCATTGAATGTTGGAGAATATGCCAGCGGTACTTCTAATACCCCCAATGTCATTTCACCTAATACAGCCCAAAAAGTCCCTGTAATTGGTGTTCCTGTAATGGGTGGTCCTGGAAAGTAAGACTTATTAACACTAATCGTTTAAAAATTTTTTTCACTACAGGAAAAATTATACTATTTTATTACAATTTTGAAAAATATACTTATGACACCGTATATTTTATTAATTATGGAGAAAAAGTGAAAAATGTGTGCCATTTCGCTTAATTAAAAGGTCAAAAACTGCTACGAAAATAATATATCATTTCAAAGAATTTACAATAATTAATACTAATGAAAAATATATTTTAATACTTGAAATTGTAAAAAATGATTAAAGAAAAATATTTATGCTTTCAGACCGGTAGGCCCACCCCAGAATCCATTTTATCGCCATAAAAAGACGTCACCTAACGATCCCGCACAAGCTGAAAAGGAAGCATTGGTAATAAACATATCAAAATTTTATTATTAGCTTTTATGCCTAGGCTTCTATTCCCCATCTTTTACCACCATGGAAAAAATCGGTACAAAAGACTTATGATTCAAAGTTTTTATGTTACCCTGCTTAGGCCATACGTTTGAATCCCATTTGAGTTAAATATTTGTATTAACTCAAGTATTATTGTAATCCAAGGCAATTAACAAACGTATCTTAATGATGATGAGAATTATGTATATAGAGATTACGCGCGAGCTCATGTAACTGCTAAATCGATAAAAAATCCTGACATCTTACATTTTTTTTTAATTTAGTATCTTTTATTATATGTACATTAGGGTGGTCCTTAGCAGAGGTGTTTTCAAATTTATTAGCCCCCAGGGGCTCAATAGCTTCTAAAATGATTAAAAAATCCGTTAAAATTTTGAGTACTTAATATTAACTCTTAGATAGTCCGCATTCCAACCAATGTTTCTTATGAAAATAACATGGGAAAAATTTCATTTTTTTTAAGAATTTTCTAACTTGTGTATAAATAAATTGAAAATAATGAGACATACATATTCTTATAGAGAATTTAACACTCAACAAAAAAGGTTTCTTGTTATTTTTCGCAAGTCTATTGGTTCAAAGGTTATTCGAGCTCAAAATCTAATTTTTAAATAAGTATCAGTATTATCAAATATATTTATAAAATAAACACTTGTATGTACATTCTACATATAACGTGAGATTACAATACAGTAAACTTGTATTGACATGAAAGATATCCTCTTTATTAGATACGGGCAGCATCCCTAGCATCTCGAGCACCCCCCTCGCCAGTGCGAGATGAACTTCTTCGTGTGTCCGCGGCGAGACTCTCTGAAAGTAATCGTGTGAAAGCTGAAACTCAACTGGTTCGACAACAACAAGAAATACTAGCGGCACAAGACCCGGTAAGTTAGAAACTGTAGTAAAAAAATTGAATACAAAAATAGTTACAGTGAAAAATAGTTTACGACCTATTCTCATACCTATTAAATATATACAAAAAGAATCTTTAAAATCGGTCGAACCGTTTCGGAGGAGTGCGACCACAAATACCGTGACACGAGATATTTATATATTAGATTGAAATCTAGCACAGGTCAAACCCACGACCTTCAAACTATAAACATATAACAGGATACTTATCATCATCATGTAAAGCTCCATATGTTGATTTATTTATTTATATTTCATTCATAATGAATAAAACAAATTACATTAGTATGCGAAAGTAATAAAAGATATATGGTTTCTTTACACATATCAATATTGGCTAGATTAAGTTTTTCAATTTTGTTAATTTACTAATTAATCGTTAGTTATACGCTTCTCATTTATATTATTACGGTATAAGCCTTTATAATAATTACTTGTTAAATAACATCAGCTCCATAAGAAAATTTAAGGACGAAAATTCTTCTTAAATATCGCAATCGTTCGAGTCCCGAATCGAGTCAGGTTTAGTTATTGTTCTTTCTATCAAGGAAGTCCCAGTAATAGCCCGGAGTTGGGAAGTTGGCGGTGTTTCTCCCCCGTGCCTCGCAGAGCACGTAAAGCTATCAGCCCTGCGCTTGATCTCTTACCGGTCAAGTCGAATTATCGTCCCATTGTAATTTAAGAGTAACAGGAATAGAGAGTGCACGTTGTGTCTGCGCGTACACTTGTGCACTATAATATCTTCTGCGAAATCAGTCGGGAGGACATCATGTTAGAAAGTACTTCTTCCAGATGTCCTCTGAACAACCACTAAAATTACATCACAATCGGATATTTAGTATGGTATTTGGTATATATTGTAACTTTATATAAAAGTTAAGGAGTAAAACATTATCATGGTGTGGTCATGTCATGAGGAGGGGAATAAGAAATTAGCTAAAAAGACGATGAATGTGAGAGTGAATGGATATATGCCCACTTTGGTGGGTGATGTACCATATAGGTTGCTCCTGGTACTTTTCTGATAACAGAGTGGTAACACGCTCGCTTGGGAAACTGAGTGAAGCGGGTTCAAATCCCGAGTCTCGCACTTCTGATATTTTCATGTGCGAATCATTCCTAACATAATTACCACTTGTCTTATGGTGAAGGAAAATATCATGAGGAAACCTGCATGTCTAAGAGAACCTGGCTAGTTTTCGAAAATATCTCATTTCCGAGAAAAAATGCAAAAACTGCATACTACAGAGCCGCGGGCAATGCTAGTTAATTTATATTTTTAAATTCCATATTGTTCTTTGCCTTTGTTTACATAAATAAAGTCAATAGTAAACAACACGCTATATAGAAATCATGAACATAATCAAAAAGACACATCCTCATTTTTATTGCCGTAACTTTTAAAGTTCACTTTCACTTCCGAATAAGGAATACAAATTACCTCACGAACAAATAAAATCATGTAAAGTATAATGGTGTCCCAGTTCACAGTCATTATAAATGCCCTATAGGGCGTAGTTTACTACGTGAAAATTTTTTTAGGGCTCCACCCTCAATTATCTCATAATAGAAAATTTAAGTTCTTTATATTTCTTTAGATTCTTATTATGCACGGAGCACCTTTCACCTGAAATCACGTCATATTTAACCAATTTTTATTTATTGAAAGGTTAAAGCTCTACATTATTTATCTAGCAACTAAGCGAACTTGATTTGATTTGTATGATATGTAATGTCGACTGAATTTCCTCTACAACTCATAAATGCGTATATGCCTTGACGAAACGTTTGCCTCAGTTTGTAGTGATCCTACTTGCTGTGCCAGCGGTCGCGGGTTCGAATCCAGTTGGGGGCATATACTTGCGTGATGTGCACGAATGTTTGAACTCCAGTCATGGCTTTTTATATTTATAATATGTATGTATTTAAAGTTATATATGTATAGTATTAACTATCTAGTATCCATAACACGAGTCTCATAACTTACCATAGAACTACTAGATGGAGCTGTATGTTATTATCCCAACATATTTATATTTATTTGTTTATTTATATACTTATTTAATATCTTTTTACTCTTTGATTTCAGGATACTATATCAGCGGAGAAGTTCTATGGCTCTCTATTAGATAGAGTCGATACAATCCTGGCTTCAATAGGCGCTAAGGATATCGGATGCAAAGAGAGGGCTGTTTGTGCCTTATATAGAGATCCTTTTAGGCACTCTCCATACAGCAATTTAGTGTCGAATGAACTTAGCAAGTAAGTAAAATATGATTTTTGTTACATACATGTACTAATCGATATGTTTACATCAATATAATATTTATTATATTATAATATATGCACTGTCCGCGCAATAGGCGACCGTGAGCGAGAGCACGGTCGACAGTGACCAATTAAATATTTATCATCACGCACATCCGCAACCTAAGTAATAATTCACCTAATAGATGTAGTCCAGTGGAAAAAGTTCGCTTGGAAAACGAAGTGAAGCGGGTTCAAATCCCGGATCTCAAAACTCTGATATTCTCATGTACAAATCATTTTCAACAAGCTTGCCTTACGGTGAAAGAACCTAAATTGGCTAATGTAGTAGATTTTGGCCTAATCATTTTCGCATTTTTCAATATGTAGAAAGGTAGCAGCAATAAGACGATAAAAATCAGCTAAATGACTTCATGACCTCCATGTAAATAGTTGGTGACTGCAACTATGGTAGTAGGCATGGCCTAATCAGTGTGGGCCTATTGATTTCTTGCGTAGAAAATATTAATCCTAACAATTTGTAAACATAAAAAGTGTTTAAATTTTTTTATTTGCCTAACATTGATAAAATTTTTGATATACCTATAAATATAATAATAATTTTAGATAGATAAATATATCTATTATTTAAGACATACATAGATTTTAATACTAAATATGTTTAAGGGATTCGAGTGAACTTGTGCCACCAGCGGACAGCAAGATGGCTCTCCGATACTTCAGATACGTCCAAGCGGCTCGAGACGGCCAAGAATCTAAAGACTGCGTCTCCATATATTCACAATGTAATATTGACTATGAAAAGAAATAATAATGCATAATATTCCTTAAACTTTAAAAGTTTCACGCTTATAGCAATGAAGTGAAATTTTATTCAAAATCTCTTGACGTTTTCTGAAATTAGTGTTTTTTTCTGATTTGGTGCATACAAACATACATACAAACTAAATACAATATCCGTTATTTCAACTTCACTGCAGTGGAATAAAAATATTCATTAGGTTTGTTTATCCACCTGTTAAAGAATTCGAGCCTATACCTTATTGTTTATGTCGAAAATATCCATATCGTTAATAAGAACTCTTACACTGTAAAGTTTTAAAAATTAAAAGCTTCAAAGTCAATCAAAATCGGTTGATTTACGTCTTCTTATTGCATTTATTATAAAAACTCCAAATAATAGTAATAATATAATACATATTATTTATCATTATTAATAAAAATTATAGTTATATTAAAAAAATCTATGAAAATTAATGTTTATAGTTTGAAACCAAAATCCTCTTCACGTATTTGATTCACACCGCCTATTAGCTGATAGCGAGTTCGATTTCCCAACTAAAATAAATTTTTTTTGAGTCCACACATATATTTTTTTCCATAATCTATAAAACGGAATTATTGGAACGCAAAACTTTCCCATATTGGCGCTACTATAGTAAGTTTTATTTATTCGTAAAGAAATGCGTAAATATTTTTTTATATATAGGAATACATAAAACACGCACTTAATTTAGATTAAGTTGTACATTTCTAGAGTTATTTTGTACTTACTTTAATTTATTTATTGAATTGTTTAACTATTATTTACTGAAGACGATTTATTAGGTACTAGCGGGTCACCCTCGCTTTGCTCGAGTTCGCCTCTAGAAAAACAAAAACAAATCTACCTGTCGAGAACCGTATATATTTCCGGGATAAAAAGTAGCCTATATGTTAGTCCAGACTATAATCTATCTCTGTGCCAAATTTCATCCAGATCCGTTCAGCCGTTCTGGCGTGAAAGAGTAACATACAACTGTAATGTTTATACGTATATATACAAAAAAGACAAGTTTTATTTGGGGTTTTAAAATATTTTTTTATATTTTTGCCCTAATCAAATAATTGTGTTTGAAGCCTGAAATCTACACTACACAATATTAAAATACTAATATTATAAAGCGACAGTGTTTCCTTGTTTGAATGCGCTAATCTCTCAAAAATTCCTTTTGCGTTAGATAGCCCGTTTGTTTAGGAACGCTATATATCATATACTATATAGTCTATCTATTTCATACTATCTGTTAAATCATAGCTAGGAAGAAACCGGAGCGAAACGAGGTAGTATCGCTAGTAGTATTATAAATCAGCTGCTCTTACATTTAGTATGAGTTATAACCACACTTCAATTTAGTCACACTTCGTATTAGATGAAAATCGTGTTTTTAAAAAATTTACCATTTTTGTTAAAAACATGAAACCGTTGATAGTGAGTTTTTTGTTTCTGCATAATTAATCGTCTCTGATAGATTAATTTATTAACATTAGAGCCATCAAGTCACTAGGACAATATGTTATGTATAGTTAAAATTAATATTTATTCTTATTGTTAAGTGTTATTTAAATAAAGAAAGTTTTTTTTTATTATTTTGTTATATTACACCTTACATTTATTTCCTACCAAAACACCTTTCCTCATTATCACCAAGCCTTAACATAGTTTTCGCAGTTACCTATTAGAGTAGTTGCAATCGACTTATGTACATACATACATACTACCTAAGACTAAAAAATATAAAGACGAAGCCTGCTAAAAAAATCAAAGTCAAAAATAATAGGTAGCGTGATTTTGCTGTTTATGTTACTATTTTCGATTTGCCTTACAAATCCTTAACTTTCTTTAAAGAATAAGGCAAATTTTATATTAGTAGGTATTAGTCTATACATCTATACTAATATTATAAAGAGGTAAAGTTTGTGATCTTGTGAGTTTGTGAGTTTGTGAGTTTGTGACGTTGTAGGGGGTAATCTCTGGATCTACTGAACCGATTTTCAAAATTCTTTTACCAATAGAAAGCCACGTTCTTTCTGAGTGTCATAGGCTATATATTAACCCGAAAAATGAAAAGGCTTTTTCGTGGTAGTCGGATTTGCAAAGTAAGTCGGAGAAAAAACGGTCGAACGAAAACGTTTCTTACGAACGCTGCCTTAACGATGAGAGATATATGATTATGTTCTAGAGAAAAGTTGTAGAGCTTAATAATGCCTACAAAAAAGTCAGCGACAGCATATGTCTAACTTTTATATTTAAGTCACAAAAAGTAGTTTTTTATATTAAAAAAATCATTTAAATCGGTAGGTCATGTTTTTTGGTCATATTATCAACAATTATGAATTCTTATCAAAATAAGTAAATTTATCGTCTAAAATGTTTAAAACAAAAGACTTTTCCCTTTTACTGCATATAATTTGGACAAATGGTTAAAGAGATAATACAACATATTCGTAGGTATGGACGAACCCGAGCGAGCTGTTTGTCTGTTTTTCTGTTTGTACGGGCTAATCTCCGAATCTATTAGACCGATTTAAATGAAATTTTGCATGGTGGTACCTTATATCCCCGGGCAACATCTTAGATACTTTTTATCACGGAAAATTAAAGAGTTCCCGTGGGATAGTTAAAAAACTATAACAACTTATGCAGCTTAGTACACAAAAACTACTGATTGGATTTTAATGAAACTTTACAATAATATAGTTCATACATGACAAAAACAAATGAGTTACTGTTCATCCCGGAAAATTAAAGAGTTTCCATGGGATAGTAAAAAACTATAGTAACTTATACAGCTTAGTACACAAAAACTACTGATTGGATTTTGATGAAACTTTACAATAATATATATAGTTCATACATCAGAATAACAAATTGGGTACTTTTTATCCCGGAAAAATGCACTGTTCCCGTGGGATAGATGTTTTTGTTTATTTGTAACGTATTATGTTCACAACATAAACCCCAAAACAATAGCTATTAAAAAATTGTCTGTTTGTCTGTTTGCCTGTATATCTGTTTGTCTGTCTTTGCGTGAGCGTTTCACGCGAAAAGTAATGTACCGATTTCAATGAAATTTGGTGAAATGATAACTTATTACTTGAGTCAACATTTAGGATACCTTTTGTATGTATGTATTTATGTATGTATTCAGCCCTTTTTAACGTCCCACTGCTGGGCACGGACCTCCCTTCAGTACGAGAGGGATCAGGCCATAGTCTACACGCTGGAAAAGTGCAGGTTGGCGGACTTCACATGTCTTTTGAAAACTTGCTAGATTCTCTTAGACATGCAGGTTTCTTCAGGATGTTTTCCTTGACCGTAAGACAAGTGATAATCATATTGGAAATGATTCACACATGAAAATATCAGAGGTGCGAGACCCGGTATTTGAACTTGCTTCAATCGGTTTCCCAAGCGAGCGCGTTACCACTGGGATACCGCTGCCTAGATACCTTTTACTTCAAGAAAATCTTTCTTTCCCACGGGAAAATACAATAACTGGTTTTATCGAGTCCTCCCTAAAAACCTTCTGCTGGCTAAGCCTTAAGACATACATACATACATTAAAACAATATACTAAAAAATTGTAGGTCTTGAAAAGGCCTACAGAAAAGTTCTGAATTGTATATGTCAATCTTCCTAAGTTACACTCGCAATATTTATTCTTATCTATACGTATAATAAAACTAACTTAGTCAAATTGATGTGCGCGTTTCACGCAAAAAGTACTCAACCGATTTTAATTAAATTTTGTATAGTGATTACTTAGTACTCGGGTCAACTTTTAACATTTAGGATACCTTTTACGACAGGCAAATTATTCATTCCCACGGGAAAACACAATAACTGGTTCTATCGAATCGTCTTTAGAAATTTTTATGGGTAACGTTGGCTCAACTTTAAGAGGAAGATCAAAACATTTTGCAAAAAAATTGTAAGTCTTAAAAAGGTCTATAGAAAAGTTCTACATAGTATATGTCTATCTGCTAAGGTACACTCGCTATATCTATTTTCATTACAATATATTACGTTATTTATTCTATCTATACATATAATAAAACTGTAGAGGTTAGAAAAAAAATGCTAAAAACCGAGTCAGTTCTCTTCTTACATCCCGAAAGAAAAGAAATAGAACAAATCCAGTTTTCTTTTTCATTTTTTTTGTTTCTCTGTCTGTTTGTTTGTTTGTACGGGCTAATCTCCGAAACTATTGAACCGATTTATATGAAGTTTTGCATGGTAGTACCTCATACCCCGGTCAACATCTAAGATACTTTTCATTCTAGAAAATTAAAGAGTTTCCGTGGGATAGTTAAAAACTATAGTAACTTATACAGCTTAGTACACAACAACTTATCCACCTAATTTAGTAAATTTTGCATGCTGATACCTTATATTGGCGGTCTAACAACGGGTTACTTTTCATCCCGCGAAAATGAACGGTTCCCGTGGGATAGATCTGTTTGTGTTTTTCTAGAGGTGAACCCGAGCGAAGCGAGGGTGAGCCGCTAGTATTATAATAAAATTGTAACTAAGTCGAATCTGTACATTAAGTATTCTTTTGAAAATCTTATTGAAATAGACATTATTATCGATACAGAGGCCGAATCTATAATTTTTAGAATTTTTTTTGTCCGTCCGTCCGTCTGTTACCGCATCACAGAAAAACTACTGGAGGGATTTTGATGAAATTTGGTATGGTCATAGCTGGTTATCCGGGTCAACATATAGGATACTTTTTACCGCGAGAAATATCTCATTTCTGAGTAAAAATAAAAAAAACTGGTTAGAATAACCACGATGATACTGTATATATTTTAGCAACGTACCTTAGTAAATAAGGCAAAAACTATTAAAAAAAGCTTATCTTGAAAAAAAAAATACAATAGCGCTATTTTATTTGGTTTTTGGTCATCAGAACGCGGACGGAGCCGCGGGCAATGCTAGTTATATATAATTTTTGAGAACAAAATATGAATAAGAAAAATAATACTACTTTTTTATGTATTTTTTAAGCATTAATTCTCTTCCCTTTGAAAGGGAGATAGCATAAGGGCTTACTACACAATATCTAAACTCTGATATAATACCGAAATATACTCGTACATGAAAATTGCAACGCGAGCTTCACTCGATGTTTTTCTTTGAAGTTCTCAGAAAGGACGATCTTTCCGACTTAATACATAAATCTATACATATAATAAAATTGTAACTAAGCCGAATCTGTACATGAAATATTTTTTGGAAAATCTAATTGAAATAGACTAGAATAGTATATTAAACACTGATATTAATTTTAAGAAAATTGCTCATAAATTACAGCCTATATATTATAACCTTATATAATCTCTTTTTTTTATTGGTAAAAACCGTATGGAAATTCAATAATTTCTTTTCGGCGGGGAATTTATAATATCATTTTGTCCCATCCGAAACACTTCCACTGCTGGGCATAGGCCTCCACCAAAGATTTCCACGACTACGACCGGCTTTAGCCAAGTCGTCGGTCCACCTTGTGGGAGACCAGTCCACGCTTCACCTTCCGATACATGGCTACCATTCGCACTATAATACGCAGTGAAATGTAGATAATTAAAAAAACATTATAATTTAAAACTTCTGTATATTTATAACATATACAAATAAACTATGTCATTTGTCTGGATAATACTCCCACTGTTCCCCAGTCTGATATGTTACACTGACATAATAGCCACTTTTCACACGAGGGGCAGCGTGTTTGGTGTCTTCAAATCTTTCGTCCAACCATATATATGGTATATTAGATTCATACGCATCATGTAAAAAGTCCAGAACAATGTGAGTATCCAAAACTGTAAAGTAATGGACGATTTCTTCAGAACGTAGTTTCATTGAAAACGCTCCCAAACCAAGTAAGCCGTCATACATCCATGCATGACCTCGGTAAGTACGATGACATGCAGCCCCACTCTCTATACCATATTTTGCCCAATCCCCAGCCGCACATACAAACCAACCCCAGTCGTTCTGAAATTGATTAATATCTATACATATAATAAAATCGTAATTAAGCCGAATCTGTACATTAAATATTTTTTTGGAAAATCTTATTGAAATAGACTTTATTATCGATGCAAAGGCCGAATCTATAGTTTTTAGAATTTTTGTCTGTCTTTCTGTTACCGCATCACAAAAAAACCACTGGAGGGATTTTGATGAAATTTGGTATGGTTTGGTATGGTGATAGCTGATTATGAAAATATCTCATTTCTGACAAAAACTGCATTGCAAGAGTATACTAATATGTAAAGCCTAAGAATTTGGTTTTTGGTCATCTGAACGCGGGTGAAGCCGCGGGCAACGTTAGTATATTATATAAATACTATTGTTAAACAATGACTAGCTAACTAAAATTATAACTTAATAAATTTGATAATTTCAATATTTGAGGTACTTTTCTTCCAAGCAAACTTTTTGCACGTGCTTATATTAGAAGGGATAAAATGACTATATTATCGCCTACCTTAGGACAAGGCGCTGCATACTTGTGAGTGTAAGTACCATATTTATGCCAAGGAGTGGGTATCCTTTTATAAGCAAACATATACTGAAAACCTACTATTATATAACTTTCATAGCTAGGTGGCGTCGGTGGGCGTTGTTCAAACCTGTAAAATATATTAACAGAACCTCGACTATTTTAAAATATTACCTTTTAGAACCAGCTTTTGCCAAAATTTGCTTTTAGAAAGTGTTTCACCTGTGCTTCGGAGAGCACTTAAAGCCGTCGGTCCTGTACCTTAACTCTCACTGGTCGTCTCTCGTGTCGCCCCATCGGAGTATGAAATTGACAGGTATAGAAAATGATGCACTCGTATTTGCGTGCATACTTGTACACTATAATATCTCCTACATAGATGTCTGGTCTCAATGAGATTGGCCGCTGTAGCCGAAATAGCTCAATGGGGCATTATTATTATTGTTAAAGGTTGTTTGCAACGTTAAGAGCGCAGACTGGATCATCCGTACACACTAGAATTCGTTAATGCAACTGTTTAGTGCGCTAATCAGTACCCGGCTTTACTCAGGTCTTGACCCACGTCATCCCTGACTGTAAGATTTCTTTAGACGGTTCTAAGGATTACTGATTTATAATAGTAGACTGTGACCGTAATAGCCGTTGCATATTTAAGAGAAACTAGCATACAGACAGATAGGCATGTTTTTTTTTGCGTGGAACCCTAATCCTTTTTCTAAAATAAAAATTAGGCTAAGTTACTCCTTATAACATTGGCTATCTGCCTGTGAAAGTTCTGTCAAAATCGGTCCAGTCATTTCGGAACTTAGCCGGAAAAAACAGAAAAAAAATGTTGTTTTTTTTTCTGATTAGTACCATATATGTACCTATACTTTCATATATATTTAGTAAAAAGCATTTTTATTTATCTTTATACGAGTAGTTAAAGAAAAAATAGAATATATTTATTATTACCAATGCGACGTAGATCTTAAGCAGATGATAGCGCTGGCCGAGTTGAAATACCATCCATACACGTTATACGTAGCCGCCCAGACTGCCAGGTCAAAAGTAAACGAAAAAGGGTGGGATCGATTTACTTGCTCAGGATAATGCCACTAAAAATATTAATATTTATATATATTAGTAATTCATATATGCTATTAGTAATAATAATGAATGGCTATATGCTATAAGTAATAATAATGAATGGAAGTCTGCTCGATTAATTGTTTCCATTTATGATTACTGCCCCGCTCCCTTGGGTAGTAACACCATAATATAAAGCTCATATTCATAACCTTCCTCAATAAGCGGACTATCTAATGCAAGAAGAGTTTCTCAAATCGGATTAGTAGTTCCTGAGATTAGCGCGTTCAAACAAACATACAAACATACTAACAAACTCTGCCTCTTTATAATATTAGTATAGATATAAAGTGATTATGGAATTACTTACCAAAGGATGGTAATGTATTCGTGCAGGAGATAGATACATGGAGCTGTTAAAATTGTTGTGATTTGTATCGTACCATGCTCCTAAAATATTTTCTAAAGTTGGAAAATCTAACTTATCCCTTAGTATTAAATGAGTAGATGTCGCTGTAGTCAAAATATGGCGTGTAGTAATAACTGCACATCCAGCGAGTGGAGTCAGGCGCTTGTATACAGTTGTGCAATAACAACCTAAGTAATGAATGTTATCCTAAAATAACAAAAATACTTGTAATTTCCTGCTAAAGTGCGTACAAAAATTCTTAGTTATAAAATAAACTAAGCACAGATACTATGAACATATCCGAAAAGGCACAATATTAAAATTATAATATAACAAAACTTACTTTTCCTTTCGCTCTATTCCATCTGTAAGAGGCCATATAATGGGGTGATAGTCGATAAGGTCTATGGTCCTCATTGTAGTAGTGGTTTGGTTTTCTTGGCAGGTAGAATGGTTCCTCCACTCGGTAATCTGGTGTGATGAGAAATGGGTCATGTATTTTTATATTAGTCCCTTTTATGTATGGAGTCATCGGTGTCGTAAACTTGAGTGGGTCATGGTATTTCTCTAATGGGGGTACATTGTGCATTTCATATATAAGTAAATTCAAACTTATCATAATTAATATATGGACCCTGAAAATAAGAAAATTACTGACCGAATAAATAAAGATTTGCTTTAAAATAATAGAAACCTAAATTAAAAACTAAATAACAAACCAAACACGCTTCATTTTTTCTAATAATATAATTGAATGCTAAATTCACTACTACTTATACCAACCCTGTTAGTACTAGGGTTACCATTTTAAAAACAAATGAACTTTTACAAATTGGTATTTCATTTTTTCAATCGTTATAATAAATCTAACATATACATAAAATACTCACAGTTTTACATATACAGATGACAATAATGATGCGAAATGAACAAATTATCCGGGTCTTGTACCTTTGAAATGATCATGGGTGAATCATTTTCAACATGATCTTACCACTTGCCTTCGGTGATATTAATATTGTGAGGGAACCTGCATGTCTGAGAGAACCTAGCATGTTTTCGTAACACAGGAGAAATCCGCCAATCCGCACTTGCCCTCGCATTGAAGTGAGACCTATGCCCAGCAGTAGGACGGAAAGAGCTGAATACGTCCAAATTAGGATAATACAGTTAACGTGGGGCTAATGCACTAAGTAGATATTCCCATCTTTTCTTAAGATAATTCTCTCTTCACTTTAAACGAGCCACTAACTGTGGCTTTGTAGCTTTGGCTTCATATTTAGTATTCAATTTGATCTACAATTATAAGTAAACGATGTTCTTTAGCCAGAATATTACTGTCTCATTACAGTCCTCTTCGTCGACTTGGATGACGATAAAGTTATCTATTACCTATTTCTAAACTGAACTCTATATGACGAACACGACCAAACTTACAAACAAACAAAATCAAAGATTCCAAAAATTGATAATATTTTCTTCTATTGATTTTTTTATTTTCCAAAAAATATTTAATGTACGACTATAAACTAGTTACAATTTTATTATAAATATTAATCATACACAACATAAAAAAACATATCTACGAATTTTTAATGTCGTTATATTTTCTGTATAATAAAATACATAAAACAAAAATTAAAAATTAAAAAATTAAAAAATTAAAAAAAAAATTAAAATTATATCTGGCAACACTGAGAGATTGTTTAGCAAGATATTTTTTCCGGTTTTTTGTCCAATACTTACGTTGTTTAAGCGCTTGGAATGAAAGAAATTCTATTTTAAAAGAATCGTAGAAGTATACATTCATACTATGTACTTTATGAAAATTAATAATTTAGCTCTTTTCAAATATTTTCCAAGTTTTAAATTTTTTTGTCTCTAAAGATACGATTAGAAAAAGCTGAGAAGTTCACTATTATATATGAATCCACGTCCTGATGTAAGGGAAAAATATGGACGAATTGAGTACCTTCTTTTTATTAAAATCAATAAAATAAAGTAAACAAATCATGTCATGTAAAAAATTACATATATCCGTAGCTCCGACACTGCGTCAAGGAGTCATTTACTTACTGCTACTTCGTCCACATGAATGTGTTTGCATTCATTTCTTTCAATATTCTTGAACAGCAGCATAAAAAAAATTGAGCTATGACTTAAAAGATTTTTTACTAGAATAAAATGTATATATAATGTCAGCCCAAGACATTATGTATCTTCAGGATTTATTCGCAAGCAATTTAAGGCGTCCCACTAGCGCAGTGATAGAGTTCTTGTGAATTTTAGTGAGTAAATCATACAGTCGTATATCGGATGGTCCGGTATTGACCACATGGTAGGTTTCCTAGAGTCAATGAAACAACACATGAGCTTCCTCATCCTCATCTTGAAACAAAGCGTGAGATGGAGTATGACAAGCAGTCTGCCTTAGTGGATGTCGTAGACCATGCGATTTGCTCCTAGTATTACTATTTTATCAGAGTGGATCTCGAGAGATGCAGTAGTTGTCTTTGATTCAGAGAAAGCAAAACTAAAATATTTTGATATAATCACTCGTCTCTGAGTAACTCCCATATTTCTGAAAGAAGGATAAAATCACAAAGTCACCGGCTACTGACGATAATCTTAAAATATGAAAGACCTAAATGACAGCTATAGAATGTAGTCTGGATAGAATAAATACTGGTTTATTAATTAAGACTAATAATAGTGGTCACGCACGCTTGGTAGATTCATCGATAAAAATAAACCTATGGGCTATGTGTTAATCTAAAATGTAATCTATCAAATATTTCAAATTTCACTCAAATCCGTTGAGCCGTTATAGCGTGAACCAACAAGGACTCTCAATCTGACTCAAAATTTTCGCACTTATACTATATGTGTGTTTTTTTAATCGAAAACTATACTGATAAGGTACTTTATAAACATTGGTGGCTGTATTTCATGACCTAATTGATTTGTAAATATACAGCTAACAATGAAAATTTCTACTTTACTCTTATACTCATACTCAGTGCCTGTTTTATTATTGGTAAGCTTTTATAAAATTGATATACACTAATTCTTCATATAAATACAAATAATTTATATCTATGTCTTTATAACAAAATTTTACTCTTTAATCTTATTGTTTTATGTCCCCGTAGTGTATTTATAGAAGGCACATGTCGATTTTTTGGGTCTATTATTACTAATGTACCTTTTATCCTAACCGGGAATAGAATCCGTATAATATTGACAGAATAATCAAAATCAGTCCAGCCATTTCAGAGATTATCCGGGAGAAACAGACAGACAAAAATTTCACAAAATGTGTTTTCTTATGAGTACCGTACATAATTTCATATGCATTTAGTAAAACGCTGTTATTTTGACATTACAAACAGACACTTAAATATTAATTATCTGTATAGATATTTAAAACATTGTTTCTGTAAGCATATTTGTAATATATATCTTGTTCATAATACTTTAAATCTGTTTTTTTTTCACATTACAGGTAATCAATTCAAGTTCCGCTATAATGAGCAGAAGAAAGCGAGCGAATATTGACAACTTCAATGTCCTACTAAGTATTTACAAAATGAATCCTTTAAAACATTCTAAGGTATTCAAAACGTTTTCTAATAGTATACTTTTACCGAGGCCGGATGAACCGCGTCCTGACTTGAATTATAATTCTGATGAAAGTAGTATACGAAACAATACTAACAGTTCAAAACAAATCGAAGAAATCATTCATTATGCGCCTCCTCAATCAGCTGACCCATCTTTGGGTATAAATACATTGAGTCCAAACGATTTACTAAATACAATCCTAAATCCATATAGTGGTGGTGAAAATCTAAATAAAAACATAGAAAGTGAAGGGATGAAATTAAATGTGAAAGAAAAAAGTTTTTCGAGAGACGAAATTAAACAAGATTCAGGCACTACAAGAAACGAACACTTGAAAGTATACAATTTAAATGCAAGGAAAGAAGATAACAAGGTTAATTTCAATGAAGCTGAAGTAGTCGTGGTTTAGTGAAATGTACTTAATTGAAAATTCGTATGGAGTTTTTACTTATTTTAATGAAATTAGGTCACACTGGTATATGAATAAAAATTTTTGCAACGTAACTTCCTGTTATAAATTTTGTTGTAGATGATTTATCATCATCATCATCACTATTATATTTTGAATGATCTTACTATTTTACTTATTTATAAAAGAGTGAATAAAACACGATAAAACCTTCAAAAGTACGGAAATACCTATTAACGTAAAGGTTTGTATAATTTTACTAAAAGTCCTTTATATATTTGAGTCTAATTCTCGTAAAATAGAGGTATATTTTAATACTTCAATGTATATTTAATTGTAGGCAAAAAGGTTTTATACCTTAAGTATTTAAATGTAAAACTTTTGACATTTTCTAATTTATTTCTCTGTAACTTTCCAGTTTCACTGTTACGTAAATGAGTTCTAAGAATTTTGCCCTTTACTAGACCAGAATACTAATTGTATAGATAAAAAAATGCAATAGTTGAAAGGTATAGGAAAAAAATAAAAAGATCCCTCCATTAAAATTGAAACTTAATAATAGAGTTTATTTACATTAGCAATAAATAAATTAAATAAATAATTAGTCAAGAGGTCCGTCTTATATATAATATTTGGTTAGATTTGTCCGGAGTAGGCGATTTCGTGGGCGTCTTCGTATGACCTCGCTTGGTAAGGACCGTGCGCGTCCCAAGCTGGGGCATGATGGTCGACGTGGTGCTCTACATGGTGTTGTGGGTAGTGGATTACTTCATAGTTGACAACCTTCGGTTTCGTGAACTTGAAGATGACCATAGCACCTGAAAAGATAAGTGAAATTAGTGTTGATCACTTTAAAAAATTTAGACATGTATTCTTATTGTTTTCTTTAAATACTAACCAGATAGGACCAGAGAGATAAGGCCAAGAGTCAAAGCCTTCCAAGTCTTCAAGGCGATCATGGCAAGTGCGAGGGGAACTAAAACTGAAGCCTTGAATTTCAGACCGAGGAGGAAAGGAAGCAGCACCTTCTTGATGAAACCGTGTTCTGAAAATTTTTTTTACATTAGTACCAAACATTTTATCTGAAAGTTACAAAATTTAAATAGTTTAACGCACTACTCTTGATTCTCAAAGGCTTAGGGAGCTTGATCTTCTTCTTCCTGCCTTCGAAGGTATCAACTTCCTCTTCGCCGTCCAAAGACATATTCAATTCTGAAGGAAGGTCGGTCAGCAGCGACCTTGGCACGTATTCAGAAGCGGCACTGTTGGAGATTTCTTCTGGAACTTTCACTCTCACTGCGTGTGTTTCGATAAAGCGGTCTACTTTGTCGATGATCGCGAAAGCTGAGTCTTTGGCCATTCTGGGGTCGACAGGTTCCTCTTCGATTTCAGCATTTTTGACGATTGAGAGGTTTTCGGTGATCTTGATCTCATCATCGTTGGCGACACGGGAAATCCATTCCAGGGTCCTCGGTTTAACACACTCCACCGAATATTGACTTAAACATTCATTATAAATGTTTCTCACAAGCCTTGAAGCTGAGTATTGGCCACTTGCGAATGCCGCGATCGACAATATCACAAATAATTTAATCATTTTGCACTATTTATTTGATCACTGTTCCTTGACGGCAGGTGCGTCTGACTGCCGTCCGTCTAACGGTCACAATGTATGTTAGGGTAGTCCAGGGCTCAGTTTATATACGAGCATTAATACGTGACGTGGGATATGAATGCGCTTTGGTGCTAACATCGGCGGTACATGTGCCGTAGCAGCGTGGTACATTTTAATTGGGAAGCGACATTGTATTGGAAAACTGTCGCTATTTTAGCGCCTTTTAATTAGATTAGGGATGTGATATGATAATGAAATCTAAGCTTAGATTTAGCTTATCTTAGATGACTAGCTTGGTTACGTCTTTAAAAAAAATTATAGCACTTTTTGATAACAAAACGTGTGTTTACACTATTGTTAATTTTGTAATCAGTCCTTTTCAATAGAGGTTCGGTTAAGTTTATATAAATAAAGTTTATTTTTTTTTAGCTTAAAGAATTTTAAAAAAGCTGATATAAAAGTGACTTAAACTTAATCAACTTATTTTTCAGTTACTAACTTTTTATAGTTTCCAAATTTAAAAATGAAAGTCTAAAAAAGATTGAATTTTGGTAAAAAGGACTTTTGATTTTTATTGACAAAGCATTAATATCAAAATAATTAAGAATGAAAATCGACCTATTTATGTACAGAGTAAACATCTGACCCCAAAAAAGAAAATGTAACTCCAAAATCATTGAAATTAATGAAAGGTGAGCTACATTTTGCGCGAAATTCTTTCATAAAATATATAACACGAAATCTTTAAGTTCAAAACTTTCATTACAATTATATATTAGTGACAATTAGTATTACTGTCAAACCCGGCCAGGCGTGTTAATTCCTTTAACAGGCCATTAAAATGGTAACAAAAACAAACATTGACGCTGGCCTACTAGTAATAGCATAACGGGTCATACATTTACATGCACATCTCATTGAACAGTAGACGATCTTTGTATAAAAACTTTTTTGAATACTTGATTAGTTAAAAGCTACTGCAAATATTTCTATTTCCCTAAAGTTATTAAAATTTACATAAAAAACGAAGTGATCAAAACAGAAATATCTTTGGTTTATGTTAGCTTTATTTGTCAGATAGAGGTAGACCAGTAGTAACGCGCTCACTTGGGAGTCCGAGCGAAGCGGGTTCACGTCCCGGGTCCCGCACCTCTGATATCTTTATGTGCGAATCATTTCTGACATGCTTACCACTTGTCTTACGGTGAAGGAAAACTTCGTCAGGAAATCTGCATGTCTGAGAGAAACTAAAAAGTTTTCAAAAGACGTGTGAAGTCCACTAACCCGCACTTGGCTAGCGTTGTGGACTATGGCTTGATCCCCCTCGCATTGGAGGGAGGCCCGTGTCCAGCAGTGGGACGTTAAAAAGGGCTGAATACATACAATACGTACATGTCAGCTTTGTCTGTTATCGATGATGCTTTAATGCCAAGTTGCACGAAAAGGTCTCCTCTTCATTCACCCTTTTTTTTGAACCGTATTTTCGGTACAGCCTAATAGTATATAATATTTATTCTTGATAATGTAATCGATTTTCAAGAATATCAATCGTTTGGTTAACGCTGTTTGTATGTTAGTGATCTTGGGCTAACTTTTTGGGATGCTCGTTGAGAATTTAAAATAGATTTTTTAAGCGCCTCCTGTTACATATCAAACAAAATGGCTAATATTATATGTTTTTTAATATATTTTTAATACTTTTGAAATTCTTAGTAAAAAAAATCTGAACAAAAATTTAAAAAATGAAGTCATCTATGATAACTCCAATACTACTAACTCTAAAGTTTAAATATAACGAAATACGTAAATATATATTTTCCTGTAATATTTTCATGTACAAACATATTAAAATTAAGAGCATTTAGACTTAATTAGGGTAAAATAAAAATAAATAAATAAATAAATATGTTGGGACATTAACATACAGCACCATCTAGTTCCATGGTGAGCTACGAGGCTTGTGTTACGGATACCAGATAGTTAATACACTACACATATGTGACTTTAAATATATACATATTGTAAATATAAACATCCAAGACTGGAGTACAAAAATTCGTGCTCATCACACAAATGAATGCCCCCAGCGGGATTCGAACCCGCAACCGCTGGCAGCAAGTAGGGGGATCACCACAAACTGAGCCAAACGTGTGGTCACAAAACAAAAATCTAAGGCATCCCAGCATAGTCCAGATCCAATCCAGGTCAACTCTTCTATGATACTGTAATCAGCTGTTACACTTCATTCCAGAGTTCATAGCCTTTTATTTCATATCCACCTCACGATACGAGCATCCGTTTTGCACCAACATCTTTCACTCGAGGGTATGAGTTGAATGATTAATTAATAAGAAATGTGTCCTTTATTACGTAAGGAATGCGAACGCAATGGACAGTGTCACTTTCTTTTATATAATGGTCAAATAGCGGTAATACTCTAGTAATTGTAAGGCATGGTAGTAACAGGTTCGAATTTTGAGAGTAATTTTTTAGCCCCTCATTTAAAATAGCTTAAAATGATAATATTGTTTTTCATTTTCAAAAAACCTATCTATATTAATGAATAGGTTTGAGTAGCCTTCTTAGCTTAGAAGACTATCTATAAATGAATAATCAAATAAGCTTTTTATCTTGCTACGATTTTATATGACAACTTATGAATTAAATTAAAAAAGCAACGATTACACTCCTTGCTTAAAGTACTAATAATCTATATTATTGACATTACTATAAACTTCTTCTTATTATTATTAGGGCATTAAAATATACGCTTCTACGCGCATGGCTTGATCTCCCACGTATTGAAAGAAAGACCGTAGCCAGCAGTCGAGTCGTTAAAAGAGAACTGAATTTTTTTTTCGGGGGTTATTTGGAATGTAACTGAAGCACACAAACTGTTTTTAGGTTTTTGGATCTACATATTATGTCTTCTTAAGCACATTGATAGTTAAATAGATGTTATCAGAAAAAAAAACATCTTTAAATATTCTGCTAAACAACTGCTTGCGAAGTTATAAGCAAAAGCTCTGAAAATATGACATTTAAAAGCTTGGCAAAAGTTTAAATAAGTATAAACTACCTTTATTACCATTGACAGTGTTTATTCTATTAGTATGTATCTTCACAGAATAACAATCATTGTACTACCATTAGTATGCCAGAAAGTAACATTCAAACTTTATCGGCTTAAATAAAAAAAAACTACTCAAGAGCCGATACTGTTACTCGATTTGGTAATTTTAACTATGTATAACTTTTACCTATGTATTTTATTATTTATATCTATACATACAACAAAATTGTAACTAAAGCCATTAAATATTTTTTGAAAAACCTTATTGAAACAAACATTATTATCGATACACAGGCCGAATCTATAGTTTTTAGAATTTTTGTCTGTCTGTCTGTTACCGCATCACAGAAAAACCACTAGAGGGATTTTGATGAAATTTGGTGTAGTGATAGCTGGTTATCCGGGTCAACATATATGATACTTTTTACAGCGGAAAAATATATCATTTCTGAGAAAAAATACAAAAACTGCATTGCAAGAGTGTGAGTAATATGTAAAATCTAAGAATTTGATTTTTGGTCACCTGAACGCGGGCGGAGCCGCGGGCAAAGCTAGTTTTAAGTAAGCTCTTGAAATGTTCTATAAACAAATGCTCAATGCCTGCTAAATAATTGACGTATTAGTGTATCAAAAATTTGTCCCAAAGACTGAAGAATTTAAATAAATAAACAAAAAAGGAATTCAGTGACTTCATAGTTTAAAACCGAAAAGTATACGTTCAAAAATTGTTCAGAATTATCTATTGATTAACGCCCAGCAGACAGCAAGCTATTTAGGCCAATTTCACTTCAATCGGCAGCTGAATATTAAACTAGTGATAGTTTTACGAACGTAAATCAATTAAGACACCTTTTTAAGCATGCTTGCTTTTTAATAACAGATAACTCATTTGAAGACTCTATTAAGGTTAAAGATTTTGATAAGAATTTCTTCTTGTGTTCTTTAAAAATGAAAAGAAAAGAAACATTAATATTGTGATGAAAAATTAAAGAAAAAACTTTTCTTACCCCATTTTTATAACAAATGCTTATGATTATAATATTATGTCATATCAAAGAACAATTCAAGGAAAATATTGTTTATTCGGTTTTATCTAAATTATAAGCTAAATAAAAAACGATTTTTCAAAATAAATCTAACTTCGATTTCCAATATATATTTAAAAAAAAACAGTCTTTTTTGCAATTTATTTTATTTAACAATATTAAAATATCAGTTTAATTAATTATAAATGTTTTTAATATATTGCTTTGCATTAAAATGGTACATAATTAAAATAAAATAAAATCAAAAATATATATAATATATTATAATATTACATATTATTTCATTTTTGAACGAAATTGTCTATGAACAATGGCTACCATTCATAGACTAAGGTACTTAGCTGTCAATGTCAATATACCAAATACCGAATACGTCACCGTCAGTTTTCTATCGAAATCACGAGAATATCTACTGTTCTTGCTTTATTAAACACAGTGAATTACTTAACTACGACCACTATATATCAAAATAGAGATTATGTGTCCATAGTGTGTGAATATATAATATAGTGATTATATGTTTATTATTATTCACGTTGTGTTAGTTAAATAAGGCATTACTATGGCGAACAATCGTATTCCGTCAGGGCCTAATACGCCCGGATCGCAACAAACCCCAACACAACAAGGCATAAAAATTTTTATACAAAGAGACTACTCTGAAGGCACTGCCGTCAAATTTCAAACAAGATTCCCTCCTGAATTAGAAGACAGAGTAAGTGAAAGTTTTTGTTTATCTAATGTCAACACGCCTTGATGGCCTTGACGATTTACTTTCTGAATAGCTTTTTGGATTAGAAAAATCAAGTACAAGGATATATTATATTTAAGATGTTCAATAGTCATTATTAATTAATGTTTTCATTAAAGACATAATGACGATTGAATGGTTTTAAGTATGTCAATGGAACTTATCTTTCCAAGTATATTTTTTATAATATTATAGATTGATTACTGATTAGGTGTGATATTTTGAACATTTTTTAACAATTGTTATAAAAAATTAAACATTTTTCTAAGTATAAAATATGAAAGTTAGTATTTATTTATTATTTATGCTAGAATAGGTTTTACTGCCTATAGATGTCTCCAACTAAAATGTCTAAGTTATATTACAATGGCATATTATAACAGCTTTTAACATCATGTTTTTACAAGTTATTGCATTTAATTGGATTTATGTACTAAAATATCTATGATATAAATAAAAGGCTTTGTTATAGTATTCTTATAGCATCTTTTTAATGAATTACAGATAGATCGACAAACATTTGAATTTACAATGGAAAGACTAAATGAACATTTTGAAATGGCAGAAACAGCAGATTGTAGTACATACTGTGAAGGATGCCTTGCCTGTCTTACTGCATATTTTATATATATCTGTACAGAGACTCACTATGAAAAGGTATGCTATAAAGTAAAAACTTTTTTATTTCTGCAAAAATGTTTAATATAGCTTTAGCAACTATTATGATAGGTTGCATGAGAGTTTTCCACTTTACATTTTGAGATATTTATAATAGTTTAAATATAATCCATAGGATATGTGTATATAATAAAGTCACTTGTCTCCTGATGCCAATGACAGTTGCTACTTGCTATTAATTATAAGAGTATCTGGTCGACTATGATTTAATTTGAATTTCAATCATATATATGATGAATTTTTCCTATGATTTCAGCATCTACGGAAAATATCAAAATTCATAGCAACCCAGAATGAAAGGGTGTACAATCCGAGAGGGATTCACATAACAGATCCTATATTGAGGGGTTTGAGAGTTATTGAAATAACAATAATAGATGTGCCCAATTGTCAAAGTCCAACGGGAAATTCAACAAACACACAACTGCGACATACTTGACCACCACACGAGAATAGGGAGTTCTTCATGTAACAATTAAGGTATTGGTTTTAATATTTGGTGCTTCGTTACTCTTGTTGTTGTTTTCTTGAGTGAATATATTTGTCTGTTCTACCTAAATATATTAAGATTCTCTTTGAAAGTCCTCGGCTGAAAGAAATTTCCTGATTTTAATGTATGTACATTCCACATTCCCCAAAAGAATTCATGATGGTCTTTTATCATCAACAACCAGTGTTCCAATGACATACACTTGGTGTATTTTTTTTAAATATCAAAACCTTGAAGAATGTGAAAATTCCCTTTGGTATTTTTTTTTATTAATAGTATTTGAAAATAATATACATGACTGTATAAAGCCAAGTCATTATAATAAATATGGCGAGAATCAAAATGGTAATTTATGGAGTAGAAATAGGAATTCTGATAATATAAAACAGCTGAGTTAAAGTTTTCGAAAGACATGTGAAATCTGCCAACCCACACTTGACCAGCAAGGTGGACTATGGCCTGATCCCCTCATATTGAAGGGAGGCCCGTGCCCAGCAGTGTGATGTTAAAAAGGGCTGAATACATACATAAAGTATTTAATTTATTAGCCAATAAATTAAATATTAACTCATATAATATTACAAGTGTGGAAAAAATGAAAATCCTATTTTCAGATTATTTCAAAATATTATTAGAAAAAATGGGATTTTCAGTTTTATCTGATTCGCAATATTGATACAACTATAACATTTTATTAAACCCTGAAAATTTCACAAAAAGAGAGTTAGCCGACTTGCGAATTGAGATAATAATATTAATATGTAATTTTTTGATACTTTAGTATAACAAATTGAAGAACTTAATATATTTAGAGTTGAACAATTGTATAAATAACTTCATCCACATAAATGGATGTTAATTGTTATTGAATGTATCCAATAAATTGTATATATTGAAATGTATGAGATTTTCACATGTAATTAAGCACCTATAAAAAGGAAGGGTCTCGAGAAGGCCTCATTTTCGCTCCAAAATAATGAAGAAAATTATATTTTACGATTTGATCTTTTCTTTGCATATTCTGAAAGTAGATTGTTTGCCTGATAAGAAAATATATATATGAGAGAAAAAATACTACAATTAATACTACATGTGAGACACCAAACTTTGGTCTAATTGGGATTTTAATTCAAAATCTTTTTTTTTATAGAGCGCAAGATGGAAGCACTGTAATTTTTAAATATAGTGTGCAGTAACTTAAGAACCTTAGAATAAAATAAAAAAAGAAATTGCTTCTTATATGAAAAGATCAAATTGTATGACATAATTTTTTCGTTATTCGGGGCCCGAAGTGAGGCTTTATCGATACCCTTCCTTTATTAAAACCAATTCATTGTATTTTAATGATTAGATGTGATTTTGTGTGAGAACTCCCTTTGCCAAAATGCTCTTCCAAACGAGAGAATGATGTATGATATAATATAACTGAAGGATTTAATTCAGACCATCAGAGCAAATGGTGTAACCCAAAAATTAAGAAATTAATAAAGTTAATGAAAATTCTTTTTTTCTTAATTTAATTCACATGTTTACTTTAACTTATATTTAAAATTCTTTTTATATAATTTAATTAAAAACAAAATAATTTTTAGTGTTCACTATAGTGCTGGCGGTCTTAATTGAATTTTGGATAGGTTTAAGTTAGGTCCCTGCATTTCGTTATATTTATTATGAAATAAAGATTTTAATGTAATGTGACTTAGTGAATGAATAAATGATTCTGTTATAAATATTTTACTTTATTTATCACAGTAATATCATATTAATTCATATTTTTTCGACATAATTTTTTAAAGACACTTAAGTTAATATTATTATTAATTTTTAGTTATTATTATAATTAAATCTTTTTATGAACATTAATAGATACCGTTTAAACAATCTATTCCTACGTTAACTAAACAAAATATGCTGAATTTTCATTCATAATAATGTTTATAAAGGGCTCGCTAAAAAATAAGGAATAGGTATGTATATATATGGTATATTATGTAGGAATTTTGTTAAAAAAGTGAAGTCGTGTCGTCGTCTTAGTACTTATTTGTTCAAACGACCATTACTTATTGTACTTTACAGTAGAGAGTTTTTTCTTCCATTTTAAAAGAAATGCCTATTTCTAAGATTTATATTTATATAATAAATATTTAATGTATATGTAATAGTGATGTAACGAATATTCGCTTATTTATTGATATTCGTATTCGCAAAAAAGGATGCTTGGCGGACGTATTTGACAAACAAAAAGAAATTATATAAGGAATGAACAGACGAATGAAAATACAACTGTGCTTTACCTATGTTTTTTATATCATTTTGACCATTTGACTAGGTATTATTTAAAATTGATGAATGCAATAATACTAAACTAATAAACGTCACACCACAACAAATTTTTTCGAACTCTTCTTCGAAGTATCAGCTATGACTACATACGCTAGCGTCAGTAGTAAACGTTTTACAGTAGTAATTCGAGTTTAGTTCTCTTTGCCTATGAACGGTATAGTTAAAAATTAGATAGATAAATTAAAAAATGGTGACCGTGTTACGATTAAAAGGATTTAATGTATGGGTTGTATTTATATAATGAATGTCAAGCTTTAAAACGCTTGGTCACTAACAAGGCTAAAAGTGCCTGAGATCAAAAAATAACCTTAGATTTTTCTTAGTTGTAAATAGGTTAGTTGATAACGTGGTTTTGTAATTTATATGTCATATTCATAGATTAAATGCGTGTATTGTAAATATGAAGCTTTTATTGCCATTACATTTTTTGTTTATGGTAAAGATTTTAACTGCTTGCAACATTTTTTGTATATTAGTTTTGTTATGCGCTTGATTTTATTCTGTTAAATGTAGCAAGAGTACACTCTAAAAGACTATAATATTTAGCCAATAAAATTATTATGTTACAACGCGATGTGAGACTCTCGACCTTAAAAACATATGAATTATAGTTTTCATAATTTTCAATACCAACATTTTGTTTTAAAAATTCTTATACTCTTCATTCCTTATTTCAATATCTCATACTTGACAGAAATATAGACAAAAACCCTAAATCTTTATAATAATCCCAAAATGTACGGAGCCGTCCACTCGAATCCAACTCACACTTGACTCTCATATTGAAACTATAAAAATATGATGATGTGTCTATTTATTCGAAATGATATTAGAAGAAATTAAAACATATATTTTTTTTGTATAAATGCTCTTTAATTTTTTTTACTTTCTACAATATGAAAATGTGACAGCATTTATTTAAATATTAAATTATAATATATATACTAGCATTGCCCGCCCGGGTTCAAATGACCATAAACCGAATTCTTAGGTTTTACATATTAGTATACTCCTACATTGTAGTTTTTTTTATTTTTTCTCAGAAATCAAACATTTTCCCGGGGTAAAAAGTAACCTATATGTTGACCCAGATAACTAGCTATCACCATACTAAATTTCATCAAAATCCCTCAAGTGGTTTTTCTGTGATGCGATAACAGACAGACAGACAAAAACTAAAAACTATAGATTCGGCCTCTGTATCGATAATACTATTTATTTATTAGTTAAAATTTTATTATATGTATATATTATAATATATCTCTATATGCTCGTATTTTTGGGTTACTTACTATAGCAAAGACTTCATTTTACATTTAGGAATGATTTTGAATTTGGAAAGGACATAGGGTCCTTTTTATCCCGGAATCATCCCATAAGGACGTCAAAATGGGAATGAAAATTTGTATTGGGAAGCAAGCTAGGGACGAACCCGAGCGAAGCGAGGGTGAATCGCTAGTTTTAAAAGGGATAGTTAAAATAATATACAATTATTTTGCCTAAGAAACTTTATTGTTTCATAAAGTTTTATTACATTTATATCTTTTTGATTTTTTTATACTGAGTTCCCAAATTTTAGAACTGATAATATTATTTGAGCAATTAAAGAAAAAGCTTAACCTTTTATTTCTAATTCGTTTCTTGTACGCGTATTGTCCCAATAATTTAAGGATTATATCCATATAAATAATACGTGGATAAATTATTATAAAATATAATTATTATATTTGAAAAAGCCTATATCTAAGTTACTGTATCACAATTTAGTTTTAGTTTTGTAACTTTTGTAATTATATAAAGTAGTCAAGTTTTATGATTAAGTAAGAACTTTTTAAACGATTTAAGTCTCGTGTTTTATTAATATCAACTTTAACAATAAGTTATTTTCAACGACAAATTTTTAATTCCAATTTGAAAACTCCAAAGTCGTGAAAGTATCAACAGCCGCTAAAAGTGAAGTAGACTGTGCTTCGAAAAGATTATTTAAAATTCTACTTCTAAAGGGCGGTAAGTATCTTTTTTTTTTTGTTTTGATGAGATTATTCGAAATCTAAAGGGTGTGTAGTGTGGGTGAGAAGATTGTGTATTGTTGGGGGCGGGTAAGGCTATGGAACACCACTAGTTATATATACTACGTATATCATATGTATTCAAGTTTCTGGATCTAAGTAAGATGGAACGTATATGTATGTATTGAGTAGGCAATCATTTTGCATAAAATAAAAATATTTCGTTAACACCTACCTACTAATATAATAAAGCTAAATATTTAATGAACAATTTAAATTACTTGTATACTTTGTTTGAATTTCAGATAATCATTAGAATAAATGCAAATAAATTGATATGATTTTTTTACTATATATATATATATATATATATATATATATATATATTTCTGATAGAAAACTAATAGGTATATAATAGAAATGACATTTATTTCCATACATTCTTCAGTTATCTAGAAGTGATAGCGATTTTAAATGTTAAATGGAAGCCTTCTGCCGTGTTTTAGCACTTACTCCCTATAAGTTGTACCTATGTAAAGACGCGTGTAAAAATGATATTACATATTATATATTAATTGTAAAACTACTAAATAA